GGGCGGCAGTTACAGGAGGAAAACACCCAAAAGAGTGGGGGGAGGGGAACAAAGGCTTAGTAAAAGGCTATTTTAATATCATATTGTAGACACTGTATCAACTCTTTCCTCAGGCACAGGTGCTGGGAGAGAGAAAAAAGAAAGCTGCCTTCAGAACCCCTTTACAAATCAGGAGAGGACCGCAGTGCATGTGTTTTAAGTAAGTCCAGAAGTCCCATTATGCAAATGAAATGCTGAAAATCAGACTAGGGAGGGGCTTCCGAAGATGTGCTGTCCAGTCCAATTCAGGACACATCCCCATGGCACACTGCATCCTGGCCAGGGAGACATGTGTGTTCTCATATATGCATAAAACTCTTCCTTCCTGAATCTTTCCTAAGCCATTTAATTCACATTAATAAAAGAGTACATGGGGATAATTTAAATACAGATGTCTATATAAAATTGGTCTCTTTTTCTGGAGATTAACAAACTGTGGCATTCCAGCTATTTGCAGCTGCAGGGCTTAGAATTCTAAAGAAACAGCTATGGCAGCAATGTGGACTACAGATGGGAACCAACTCACCTACCCCAGCCCTCTTCAAGGAGCACTTCCCTTGACAGCAGTCTCAGGGCTAAGGTTAAATGTGGAAGTGAGATGCAGCCTTCCTTCCACCCCCTCCCCAAATGACCTTGAAGTGCCCCCGTCCCCCTGGGGATGTTGACCATATACAGTACCTGATTCCTGCTGTGTTGTCATAATGGAATTTGGGGTCACACACTTCCTCTTCCTCCATACAGGAAACAGGTGAGGTAGGCAGGGAGAGTCCAGAATCCTCTTCCATGCTCAAAGTCTCTGATATCGGGAGAACAATGTAGTCTTTGCCATCCTGAAACAACAAACATGGAGTTCTATTGCTATGGCTCCAGCCCCTCAAGAGCCTTTTCATGAGAAACAAAGGCCATGGGGTCTGTCGCTTTCATATCTGAGTGCAGAACTTAAAGACAACATTAAAAATGGTTTATCAAAAACAAAAGGGCCCTTGAGAGGGATATGTATATATGAAAGTAAGTTAAAGGAGTTCATATAAAAACAAGAGGAGTAAGGGGACCGCAGAGAACTGTGGTCACGAGGAAGACAAAGCAGGCTGTGGCCAGTGATGTGGCAACAGAACACGGAGGGCTGAGGAATCATTTCTTCACAAAGCCCCACCTACAAGAGCCAAGTCTTTTAAAGGGTATGTCACCCAGTGTTAGCTTCTACACGTCCAGGCAATGGAAAAGCTGATGCCAGTCTAGAGAAAAGCAATAAATGTGCAGGAAAATGGGTCTTCTGAGAAAAGGTCGCACAATTTAACATTACTTCATCAAGAGAAAGAGAGAAAGGGCAATGTGATACCTTTAAATGTTTGAAAGGCTTACTGATAAAAACAGATTTGACCCATTGTTCCCCACCTGTTCCAAAGAAAAGCAAGAGGAAATTGGCTTCCATTCATGGTATTAAGAGGCCCTTGACTGGAGATTAAATAACTTGCTAATGGTAAAGGTTACAGTTCTAAAATCCTCCAGTGGAAGTTATGGGGGTCTGGGATTTTACTGAGGAAAAAGCCATCTATTTTGCAGGGTTCAGATATGGGTTTGCCTATACAGTGTATTAAAAATTCCTTGAAATTCTGTTCATTGTTGATATTCTGTGGACCAACGCATTTTTATTTTTTTATTTTTTTAAAGATTTTATTTATTTATTTGACAGAGAGAGAGATAGTGAGAGAGGGAATACAAGCAGAGGGACTGGGAGAGGGAGAAGCAGGCCTCCCACCAAGCAGGGAGCCTGATGCGGGGCTGGATCCCAGGACCCTGGGACCATGACCTGAGCCAAAGGCAGATGCTTAATGACTGAGCCACCCAGGCACCCCCAACTCATTTTTATTGATTGATTGATTAATTTCACTTCAGAAGAGTATCTGAAGACAAGAAAAAGATATTATCAGGAGGAATGAGTGGTTAGGATCTCATCTGTCTAAACAGGGAGTTATAGCTTTTAAAAAAGCATTATTGCTCAGATCTGTAAGAATATGGTGGCTATGAGAAGGTCTAAGGAAGAGAGGAGGCCTTGGATATACTTCTTGGATGGAGGTCACAAACCTGCTGAGCATTAGCTTGTAACAGATTTCCCAAGTGTTCCACCAGCTCTGAAAACGTGGGTCTCTGATTGGGCTCCCCGTGCCAGCAGTCAAGCATGGTCTGGTATCTAGAGAAGCAAAACACTAATGTCATTAACTGTCTCCTTCTTCCTCATCTGATGCTGAAAACAAGCACTTGAGTGAGTAAACATTTATGAAAAGTCCACCATGAGCCCAGACACTAAATAGTAATTCAACACCGTATAAAACACAGAGCCCTACACTTGGAGCATCAAGTATGTACGGGAAATGTTATAAACTGATATCTAATAAAAACTAACTCGTGAGTATAGATAAAGTGCTGTTGTTTCCAGAAGAGATGACTCTCTGCTTGAGATTATCAAGGAAGACTTCCAGGGAGAAGCAGGATACAGATGGGGCCATGAAAGAGGTCTGTATCATGAAAAGTCTTCTGGGCATGGGGAGTTTTTGTGAGCAAAGAAAGGATAGGAAGATGTGTTCAGTCTTACATTTCTGGTGTGGCATAATCAGGGGCCCTCATTCTAGTGCCTTCTTTTAATCGCCTACAGAATTCCTCATCAATCTTTACTCCAGGATATGGAGAAGCACCTAGAATAAAACAGGAATGGGACATTATCTGATTTGATTTTTTTCTTATAGAAAACCGTGATTCTTGAACATCTTCCCAAATACATTCATACATACATATATATGTATATTTATATATTTTTTGTATATTCGTATATGTATGTGTGTGTATATATATGTGTGTGTGTGTGTGTATATATATATATATATATATATATTTTTTTTTTTTTTTAACTATCCAAAGCTTCCAAGTAACTTTCACCAGATCAAGGTGGAACACAGGAGAGGAAAAGGTGCACTGGGGCCACTGACTTCTATCATCCTCTTTGGAGTATGGATGGAGGAACAAAAAGCAAGTGACTTACCTAAGGAAAATATTTCCCAGAGCAAGACACCGAAAGACCACACATCACTCTGAATTGTGTACACTCTGTCAAAAATTGTTTCTGGGGCCATCCATTTCAAAGGGAGGCGAGCCTAAGAGGGTAGAAGACAAGGAATCAGAACCCAACTTAGCACATATCTGAAGAAAACATTTCCTTTGTTCCCAAAGAAGGTCCCGAAGCTTGCAAAGAGGAATTTGGATCCTGCAACTTAACAGAGCACTGGGCTCATCTTTGAAACTTACATCTCCTTTTCTGACATAATCTGGGTCTTTATAAATATCCCGGGCCAAGCCAAAGTCACAGATTTTAACCACGTTCTTCTCCGACAAGAGGATGTTGCGTGCGGCCAGGTCCCTGTGGATACACTGCAAAAAGAACCGTGTGTACGTTAGGTCACGGCGCAGCTGATGTCTTCTGCATCTGTTGTGACCTCATGCTTAAAAAAGCCCCACATCAGAAAACCAACTGATTAACAAGCACTGGGCTAATATCTTTCATCAACACTTTAAGAAAGAAGTCTGACTTTTGTTGAGACACACATCTGCTTATCCCATAAAGAGTCCCAGATTTTGGAGTTAAATAATTAAGTTATAGTATGATGATGGAGTCGTAAATAGACTTCTCTTGGACACAATTAAGAATGTGTTTCTGGTCACATCCACATATCCCTTTCGCCTGGCACCATATACGGTTAAAACCTGTTATTCTAAGGAGGCCCTAGAATGCCCTCCTATTCTGAATGAATGCTCAGAAATCAGGAACAATGGGCTCTCCTTGGTTTGGTGCCTTTGGTTGGTTTCTCGGTTCCATATGGAACTGAAAATGACCGGCTCTGATAAACCATCCCCTGTGGGGCTCATCCTGTTTCAAAGTGTTGGATTATCATAAAGGTCTATGAAAGAGATTTCAGCTTCTCACGGGTCAAGTTGATTCTCTGGTGCCCTAAAAAAGGAAAACCTAATTCCCCCTGCTTTCTCTCCACTCTTTTCTGGTCCTCAGTTTCTCTCGTCTAGATATTCCCCATCCTCATTTAACTTCCTACTACTGAGCAGCTTTAGCTTCACCTGGTAGATTTGTAAGGGAATAAAAGTCTGGGGAACATTTATAAATGAATGAAGGGCTCAGAGGAGAATTCTGAAGCCAGGGCAGGAGTGATCCCGGGAACCAGGCATGGCTGACCACCCCACACCCTTGTCTCTGTGCAGCACTTCCTTCTGAAAGAGGCATATTCAAAAGCATTCTGTCAAGCATGACTGAGCAAGACAGGAGACTCCAAAAACTAGATAGTCCTCTCTACTTTTCCCCCAATCAAAGAGCTTCCTTTTTCAGCCCAACAACCAGGTAGTCTTCAAGACACCAGCTGGTAGATGCAAGGGAACTTGACGGTCCCCACCCCATTCCCTTCCCAGTCGAAAGATACCCTGACTAAACAGCAGGCTCTGGCCTTTAAAAATAATAATAAAATATTATTTTCTTCTTGGGAGAAAGGAGACAAGAGCTCCCGGACAGAAACTTTCGCGATCCTGAGGCTCTGAAAGCTGTGACAAGGTTTAAGCTTCAGAAAAAGAAATGGGTTAGAGATTTCACTCTAATTTAGAAAAGCAAAAATGTTAAGTCTTTCTTCCCCACCCCACCCCAGGAGGGTGCAGCCAATGCATTCTGTCAACTGATCATTTTTCCTAAAACTTAATTTGAATTTTCCTTGCTTAATATAAAACCATCCGTTCTACCCTTTCCAGAGGGGTGACTTCAACCGACCCCGCTCCCGCCGTGGTGTTTACAGCCTCTGGAATATTTGTAACTTGTCACGTCCCCACCTCAGCCTTTGTTTGGCCTACTTTTCTAATTTTAGCTTTTATAATCGCTCTCATCTGAAGCCTGTCCTTCCTGCTTTCTAATTATACCACTAACAAATACTTTTTGATGGATGGTGATGAATGTAAAATAAATTAAAAATAGACTCTCTCATGCCAAGATATCTGCAAGGCTCAGTCCCTCACCTTTTCCAGGTCGCTGCTCAGATGTCACATTCTTATAAAGCCTTCCCTGTTCACTCTGTTTAAAATTGATGTACACAAACACAGAAGCATATGCACACACAAACACAGCACTCTTGTATACTCTCTAACCCTTTCCTGCTTATTTTTCCCCATAGTGCTTATTTCCCTTCCAACCTACTATGTATTTGACCTGTTTATATTGTTCACCACTTGTTTTACCCAATAGGATGTAAACTCCATGAAGGAGGAGAGTTTTGCCTGTTAGTTCACACAGTATCCTTACTGCTTAGAAGACTGCCTGCACTTCATAGATGGTCGATAAATATTTATCACATGAGTTAGTTAATTTCATGAAATCCTTACACCTCCTTAAATTAGCAGACACGGGGTCTCTCCAACAGAACTCTTCGAATAGTCCCAGCAGTGGAGAACAAATTACAGTCCCTAACCAAACTCCAGTGGCTGGCACTGGAAATCTTACTTCCAGATCTGTGATCTGAATGATACTTCAGGTCCCCCCTGAGCTGTCTTACCTTCCGTGATGCCAAAAACTCCATGCCCTTAGCCACTTGGAAGCTGTAACAGATGAGATGCTCCAAGGTCAGGAAGTTCTTGTACAGATCTTCAGAAACTGTCAGAAGATGTAGGAGGACAGAGATCAGTATTGCCACCAAAAACTATTTGTTCCTAAGTTTGTTAGAGTAATCTTCATCTTAACACTTGGGAGTTAAACTTCTGGAAATAGAAGCAGAGAGAAAAATGCCTGTATCTTCTATAAATTTGCTGAATCCCGGTATTATTAGCTTTCATCATACCCCTTAGCAGGAAAAAAAAAAAAAAAATGTTGGTTTTTTTTTTTCCATCTTAGTCAAATTGAACTAGCAAATCCAGGAGGCAGAAGGGAGCTACATTTGGCAGAGATGGCAAGGAGAGAAAGAGGACTTTTTTAAGTTTGCTGTTTTAAACTGTTGTTTTTTTGTCCATGTACCCAGAGGGATAAACAATAGTTTCATATCAAGAACTCTAAAAATAAAACAACAATATTCAGGGTCATTGAATCTTTTCTCTCCAGGCTTTGTCCTGGGACAAAGGCCAAAGGTCAAATTATAATCTACAACAGATAACCAAAAATACCAGAAATATATTTACTTCTCTCATTTTCAAGCTGAGAAAGTGCTGTAAACACATTAAAACAGGCCTGAGAGGATGCTTTTTTCCCTTCAAGGATATGAATGAGAGGTGACAGGAACATTGAGAAAAAGATGGTTTTACGTAAATTGGTGGTATTTATTTCCGTGCAACTGGTACAAATAAACACTAAGACATTAATGGGTGTTTCAACATGATCTCTTAACTTTGGTCAGATAAGATAAGACATGGCTTCTCTCCTAGAGACAAATACCAGAGTAAATGAAAACTCACTTGTAATAATAACCTTGTAAGTATTAAAAAGACTGAGAACCTTTTTCTCAATGATTTTTTTATGCTTAGGGCTAGAGGGCTCTCAGTTAACAATTAGTGAAAGACAAATTCCAGGCCAACACCCTTTCTACTCCAACTGAGCATCCCAGTCCTTCGGGTTTCCAGTGCACTGGCCACCATTTCGTAGAGAGAAGGATGGGACAGAGAGGGCGCCACTCAGTGTGGGCCCAGTTACGTGAGGTCTAGATGGCCTCTCCACACTCTTCTAGACCAAGTTCCAGCTTTGCACACCCTGCTCGGCTTCTAAGAGAAAGAAGCCAGATTTAAGTTCTATCTGTAGCCTCATGTCTAGGGAAAGGGAAGCAAGTTTCTCTCACTATTTCATGACTGGATTCTTCTAAGCTCATGCCTCAAGAGGAGCCAGCTGTCAGGAAGCTCCATCTCTACAACCATGGAGCTGTCTCTGCTCCTTCTAAGGGAAGCAGATAGTGTATCCTGGAGCTGGAAGAAATCCTGGAAGTCAGACTGCGAACACAGCTCTACTCAGAGAGAACACTAAAATATCACTGGAAGCATAACTGGATAAAGAAAAATATGCTTACCAAGACTCCTCTGAGGAAGTATGGTTGCAAGAAAGACTTGAGAAGCCACTTGGAATCGGGTAGAAGCAGCAGGTGATCCCTACGCTGCCTTGGAGAGGTCCGGTGACTCAGGGAGTGTGGGGCCGAACTGCTTAGGGCAATGGGGAGGCTAATCAACCACCGGAGAGCCTCCTTTGTCCTCCGGGAATAAAGTGCTGAGTCTCTCCTGCTACTAAATGCTGAACCAATAGCCTCAAAGCATTGGTTTGGTTGTTGCTGACTGCTTGGCCCTGCTGGGATACTGAGATTTCTCAGGCTCGCCCCATGCTTTGCCTCACAACTTAGTCAGCTGCTTAGTTAGGGCTTCCACAACTCTCTTTTGGGAAAACTGAATGGAGGAGTCTAGAAATTTAGGTCTCTTCCAAATATGAGGGAGTATTGAACTTTTCCCATGACAAAATTCCTCGTAACACTCTATCACTTTCTCTTTCCTGCAAGAGCACGCGTTAAGTGTAGAGAAAGCAATGGCAGGTACCTTCCTCTTCCTCCACATCACTGAGGGACTTCTCCTCAACAAATCCAGAGCTGGCTGAGCTCTGACTACTGGTGATACTGTCCAAGCGGCGTTTCGGATCCATAGTGATTTCCCCAACGTATTCTTTCCCTTGACGGAATCGTGCCCCTTTGGTCTATAAAGAAGCAAATGCACAAACTCCTTGAATACAAAAGAGGTCTCTAGAAAACAATTATAGCTATTAAAAGCAGACAAGAAGGACATCAGTTTCAGGAATATGGAATCTTTAGGCTGGAATTTGGGGTAAGTGTTCTACATAATAGATTTTCTTCCATAAAGCCTAGTTTCTTCTTTAGCTTAAAGAGATAAACGCATTGTTTCAAGTGTATTTCAGACACGCTTCCAACATTAGGGTGCTCTTTATGGAGGGACTGACACTCCATGGGGCCAAATACTGCTAGGAGAGAGAGAGAAAATAATCCAGAGATATCCTTCCCTTTCCTTAATCATGCCCACCTTCTCCCCTCCTCAGGCACCATCTCTAATGGGTCAGTAGATTAGAGTCACAAAACAAAAACAAAAACAAAAACCAACCACGAGAAGATATGTCCCCCAGCAGGTAAAAGAGGAAATTAAAACAGCCAAAAGAAGACTCCTCACAAGTTCTTCACCGCATTTTAACAGCGAAAGATTAACCTGTATCTTCCTCCATTTTACAATGCAGCCAGAGCTGAGTTAAATGACATACCTTGTAGGGGACAAATTCATTTCTCTTGTTCCTTAAGTAAGTTGACAGGTTTCCAAACTTGCAAAACTCCACAATCACCATGAGTGGCCCTGCAGACAGCACAGCATATTAAGAAAGGAAAACGTTTCCATTCATGTATCTCATCAAGTGTTTAATTCATGGATGAACCAGAAGATATCATCGAAGGACACTACAAACTTTCACCGGGCCAGGATCATCGAAATCAGCTGGTCACAATGCCCTTATAATGTAGCTTTTCTTTTACCAACTGGCAATTCCACAGCAAGATGGACCAAATTTTTGGAAGAAAATCCACCCACTTGCTTTTCAACACAATCACCTAAGATGATTCCATTTTAGGGGGAACTACTCTTAAGGTCTTTGCTTTCAGGTTTTTTGAGAGGTTTACCTTTCTCATCTGAACCTCTTACACAAGCAGCAAACTGCAGTATAGTAAGATGGCATTTTCTAATTCACAGGAAGTTCTGGAATAATTTATAGTGTCCATTAAACCTCCACGAAATATATTTATATCTAGGAATCTGGCAAAGCATCCTAAGTTAAGGAAATCAAGGCCATGGGAGCTGAGGGGTTTCCCTGAAATACCAGCAGAAAATCATATGCCAAAATCATCAGGCCACCAGAACCATCCACAGATACTCACCTCCTGGCTTGGTACAGGCACCTAGAAGATTGACCACATTGAGATGGTGGCCAATATGAATGAGGATCTTGAGTTCAGACATGAGGGCTCGGTGTTCACTGTGTGTTGCTCCTTCTACAAATATATGGCAAAGAGGGAAATCATAAATGTGGGCATTAGCTGAGGAGAATCTGTGCCCCACTGCACTCATGTGTACAAACTACCCTCTAGGGATAATACAACTGTGATCCAATTTACAGACTGGGTGCCTTGAAAGTCAAGTGTAAATTATATTTTCCAATTCTTACTTTAAGTGCACCCAGAACGTTTGATATTTAAAGGAATCCATTGTGAAGTCTTTTGCAAAATGGAGAATACATCTGCAAATGGAATCATGCCCAGATTTTCTTCTCTTACAAAATTGGATTTTCATATATCAGGTTGACTATGCTTCTTAGGGCCTGATTATTTCAGTCCTTCCTCGTAAGGAAGCAACACCATGTATTAAATATCCTTATGTGTTAGGGACTATGCTGAAGTTACCGCCAATCAGTGCCAAGCAGGAAACTTAACAGGGGCCAGCTGGCAAGGCCAGTTGGCCCAAGAGGCTGATGAGGCTAAAACTGCAAGTGTGATCCTGTACAGACCGGTACACTTCCCTCTAATTCACACACACGGTCTACACCTCAGACCCTGATGAGCCACCTCAAAATTGCACACACCCTTAGCCGCAAGGGAGAATAGGTTAAAGGAGAGAGATGGCTTTGAAATGCATAGGACCTACTGGCCAAGGGTCTGCAGCCCTGCCTCCATCAGTGGAAGCACATCACGAATGGAGCTAACAGCTGTGTATGCACCACCTCCCCAAATTAAAATAACAAGACCAGAATTGCATTACTATTAGGATTAACCATTGTTTATAAAGCTTTTAATTTTTAACATGTCACCTGTGGTCCTTTTTTTCCTAGTGCAACCGTTATCTTTATAGGAGAAAATCTTTCACATATTCCAATTCTAGGAAACACGCTGTTTTTGCACTCTACTATTTTTACTGATTATATTAAATTTCTTTCCATGTCTCTACATGGTCTATAATTATCTCACTAATGCACCATAATACATTAAGAAACAATTTTTACATCACCAAGGTATTATTTTCCTCTAGTCAGGCCACTAAGTACAGTTGTATAAGCTATATGCCCTGCACAAGGGCCCTCGGGCGCAGTGGGGAAGTGGGTGAAGCTGCAGCCCATCCTCAACTTTGCCTGCCAGGGCACGCACCCTCACATGAGGCTATGAAAGAGGAACCTTTTCCCAATCTGTACAAAGGTATCACCTAAGCCAGCCACAAGCTTGGCTAGTGGGCTCACCTAACCACAGAGCTGCCGATACAAGTCTTTCATCATGTTTACAGACCGGATGAAACAGATAGAGGGATATAGCGCCATATAATTTTGCTTTTACCTTTTAACATTTTGACGGCCACCGTCCTGCAAGTTGCTGTCTTGTCGATTCCAAAGGCATCCGCTTCAATCACTTGGCCAAAGGCACCACGGCCGAGAGGCTTACCTATAGTCAACGATGACAGCAAACAAAACAGACTTAGACTCTGACAGCACCAAAGTGACATGCAGAGATTCCGACTAGATTGGGTCACCAAACATCCCAGTTTAACTCGGAGAAGCCAGCTCAACTCCCTTATCTTGGCTTCATTATTTAATACCCCTCCCGCTTTGCTCTCCAAATGTCCTGCTTTGGATAATTGTACACAGACCCTAATTCTAGGTGACTAAAAGGATGATTACTCAAATTCAAGAGACAGAATGAATATTCTGAACCTGGATCCAACATGTGAATAAACTAGATTTTGTCATCATCCTAAAGGAGGAAGAGATGTCCTGGTAAACCCAACATCAACTTAATACCACTTGAAAACACACCTAGTTTCAGCCGGTCTCTGGGGAACTCCCATTTGCTAGCATCATAAGGCAGGCGTTCACAGTGCTCATCCAAGGGAAGTTCATCTGGATCCATGACGATGGACAAGTAGCCTGTCTTCAGTTCCCCTCCATTGGCCTGGAAAGCATTATTCCTTCCAGTCACATACGCTCTGTTGTCTGGCTGTTGTTTTTTGTGTGCTTATTATTGTTGTTTATAGAAGCCCCATTCCTGATGTCTCATTTTCAAATAAAACTCATGAAGTTTGAGAGTGAGTCCTATTATAATCCTGCATCCAGTGTTCCCTTAGCCCCCAAATGAGCTCGGAATGAAGTACTTAAATCTTAATTACACTAGACAGTCCAAGCCCTTTTCTCCTCTAGTGGCTTCTATCAATTAAAGCCCAGTGGTCCAGCCAAAAGAAAGTGGGAAAGAATGTTATTGTATTGAAATAAAACTGTGCCCATTGAGCCAATAACAATGGGAAGAAACAACTCAAAGAGCCCCAGTCAGCTTTCATTAATCATGAAAACCAACGTACATGGGATGGAAGGGAAATGATTTTGTTACCCGCTTAACGGTCCGTAGAACGATGACAAGTAATAACCAGAAGAACATGGCAATCACTGCCGTGCCTACTAGAATAATGACTTCCAGGTTTGTCTTCTCCTGGGCACCTGGAAAGACGAAATTGAATGAGCATCGACAGTTGAAAACCCGTACCTTTTTATATAAGACAACAAAGTTCAACACTAAAGCAAGATCTCAAGTTTACCAACTTGGAAAAAGTCCTAGACAATAAGAGTCACAAGCCTCTAAGTAGGAGGGAGTCTATAACATTCTTAATGGATAATTTAGAAAAGTTTGCAAAACACTGCCCATGAAAACCTCCAATGATAAAATTCCAAAGTTAAAGATAGAAATTAAGGATATCAAGGATAGAAATGCTGATGTCTTACAAGAAAAACATATGAAGTGTTTGGAGGAAGAGCAGTCTTTGATGGAAAGAAAACAGATCACATTCTACAGGGAAGAAAAGAAGCATGTTTGAATTCACAGTAAGTTCTAGAATAATTTATAGTGGCCTCTTTCTAGAGAGAATAAATGTCTGGTTTTGCATGGATAGTCTGTTTTCATCTGTATAGTTTGAGAAAGGATTATATAAGAAAACAAGCGGCTGAGTGATTGGTTACTATGCACCCCCTAGGTGCTCATTACTTTAAATACGTCATCCCACTTAATCTTCTCAACAACGCTCAGTTTTCAGATGGAGAAACAAGCTCAGAGAGGTTAAGCTCTTTCATAAAGGGCACACAGCAAGTTGGGGGAGTGGTCAAGAGTAAAGACTAAACAAAGTCTGTCCAACACCAGTTAGCCATCACACTACCTTGCTCTTGTGTGGCAGGAGCCTGAGTTAGGAAAAGAGAGAAAGCCAAGATGAGAGCATCCCGCGTGGCCTGGCGATAAAATGAGTTTAAACCACCCATGAAAGGTAAGGCAGAGGTCGGCAGGGAAAGCTGCAGATGCTCAGGGCTCCAGAGGACAGCTCTGAGTGGGAGAAATTAAATGCCAGAGGAGGCTTTCAACTAGGAGTGATTAGCAAAGAGGTGATAAGGAGACAATTATCACCTAGGGCTTCCCATCGGATGAGTGTAGCGTGAATCGAATAAGCTGTCCAAGTGGCCCAAGGGAGCCTCAAAAAGGCAGAAGAACAAGGAATTAACTAGTTAGCCAAGTAAGAGCTAACAGTGGAGAACCAAGTACCAAGTACGGCTTAGAAGTCAATTCTGTTTCCCTGGTGGTCCTATTAAAATAAATTTCATTACACAGAGGTCTAAAAGTCCATTATACATAGTAAAAAGTTCAAAGATTCAATTGTCTATATAAGTTAGTGTGTTAATATTCCCATACTAAGATTTGGGAACCTAAGAGAAGAATTAAATATCTACCTTTCTTCTTCTTAGTACTCCCTTTTGGGTACAAGTAAATACAAGCTCTGTGGGTAGCCCGATGCAAACACCCCAACAGAGGTGAGGCAGAGCACGGGAGAGAGCTGGAAGTCCCTGCTAGGATCTGCCCTCAACATGAAGCCCTTTGGAAATGACAAAAGCACCATGTCACTTGAAATTTTTATTTATTTCACACACTTGAAATCTTTTTTGCAAGTGCAGTTCATGAAATGGTAATAAGCCTCCAGATTGGAAAACAAGTCATCAAGATGTAATCGATTTGACAGATGAAGGGAACTAAAATCTAGACATTGAGAGACAAGTTAGGATGAGTTCATAAAAATTCATCAGCTATTCCTTCTGTCACCATCCTTCTTTCTTCTCCTTGTATACCATTCCTTTACCCACGTAATAGAGTTTCATTCCTCCCCCGATAGATTCTTTTTTAAAATTGGAATACACTTCTGAAGAGAAAATATCCTGTCACAAATTACCTTTCCCATCTGGGAAAATGCCAGATTTCACCTCACTCCTCCATCCACATAGGAGTTTCCTTTAACATTTAGACAGCCTAAAACTTCCACATCAGAGAAGCAAGGGTCTATTGTTCACAAATAAATTTTAATTGTCTGTAGTCCAGTGAAAACTGTGAACCCTTGTGATTATCTGGATAGCATTGATTTTGATGGCTGAACAGTTAATTCTAATGTTTTTTCAAGTAAATATAGGGGTATCACTTCCACAACAAGTTAACCAAGCCATTCAAATGAAGAAAAAAATAAGGGCAAGAAGGGTATTCCACCTGTCTGGCTAAGAAATTTTCCAAAGCGAGAACTGCAAGGATAGGAAATATGATACAAGCAAAATTAAAAAAACATTGATTATGGTTTCTGGTTAAAATAATACGTACTTAGAGTAGAACATATACAAAGTGCAAAGATTATCAAAAATCGCCCGAAGTGTGTGAGTATATATACAAGCTAAGTTTTTAAAACCACCTGACGTGTCCATGCATCTCCACTGACCTTCTACTATGAAAAATGCCTCCACTTTTGCACAACCAAGAACACTGCATGCCTGGCAGGTATAGAGGCCTTCATCCTCCTTCCTCACCCTGCGGATGGTTAGGTTCCGGTTCCCATCTTTCAGTACAATACCTAAGAGAAAAGAAAAATGATGTTTATATTTGTGATGTGATCTGGTGGAGTTTTTCAGGAAAAAAATCTAAAAATATAAATGGTGTCCTTTTCTTGGACTAGTATCTAATTCCAAAGAGTGTTACAGGATGCACTGCTGACTCATCACCCCCATGCTTCCATGAGAATTCAACAAGGCTCTGAATACTTTAATTCTGAATCTAGGAAATGAGCCAGACCATGGACACTAATATTGCCTTTTTTTTTTTTTTCTACCTAAAACAAATCAAGACGTAATGTGGGGTTTAGAGCATGTCTCCAGGAGAATTCTGCAACCAATGAGAGATAGACATATTCTATTCACCTGAGTCTTCTACAAGTGTCTCATTGTCTTTAAACCACGTAACTTGTGGAGCGGGATTCCCAGACGTGGTGCATGAAACTTCAATGGTTTCACCAATGCTTGTAGTCTGATTCTCCAGGTTTCCAGTGATCATGGGTGCCACACGCTCTATGCACACACAAAAATCACACAACATTTAGTTATAACTTTTGAAATGGTTTTAACATCAGTAAACTAATAAATAGTTTAAACTTCACAAACAGTAAGCTGTTGATTTACTAAACTGCAAATACATAGAAGTTGATGACAATACCGTTGGTCACTGAGTAAAATTAAATAAAACAAGTCAGGACAGTTGAGATAGATCACTACACCTCTTTGAACATTCCTATTAGTGATTCTAGCTGGTTGTCACATCACAAAATAAAGGTTGTCACTTTTATGGGTTTTTCCTCTAATTAGACACAGCTTCCCCAAGGGGAAACATTCCCTCCCATGAAAGTTCTAGCCAGTGACACCTATGAACTCCACCATATTTCTTTTGAAAGGTGTGAAACTTCACTGTAATTTAACAAAGAATGCCTTCTATTTGTTTGACACTTTTTACAAAACTCACTTATACTATTTCTGTTGCTCACTATCAATCCTAGGATGGACAAGAATATTAACCTTATTTCACAGATGAAAGAACTGCAGTTCAGAGGGGTAAACAACTTGTCCAAGTCCCTATAACTGAGTAAGCGTTTGAACTAATAATAGAATCTGGTGAACCTAAAGGACTAGTCCAGTGTCATTTCCACTAAAACACAAATGAACAAGACAACAATCCCTAAAGAAAGTCAGAGATTTCAAGAAAATTAAGCCCATGGGTATTTCTTTCAATGTATAGCAAAACTTCAGATTTGCCATACCATCAAAGGGTTATAGAAATATCTTTTCCAAAAAAATCAAAAAGAATCTTGCTGAAAGGATCCGCTTCAACATTTAACAAAATGAGATTACCTCAGTGGTGAACCACATTGGGGTCTAAGCAAATGTCCTAGGCTCTAGTCTATTCTAAGAATAATTTTAGGAAAACAACTTAGGAGTCCTTAGAGAAGCAAACCAGCTCATTGTGAGCACAGATTTCCTGGGCATGGCCTCCTTCACATCTCTCTCTAAATTCTTCCATTAATTTGAAGCCAGACTGGTCACTAAGGTGAACAGAAAACACATGGTCATATATGTGATAGGATATGAAGGGCCCGGGGAATGACTTCACCCAAAAATACTCCTTCTTTTGACACCTAAGTCTTAACACCAGCAAACCCTACCCTAGTGTCTGTCTGACGATACCTCTTAAAATATGCCAAGACCTCCGAAGAAAATATTATTCCTCTAAAACCATGGTATAGATTCATCCACCTGGGCAGTTTGCTTCCCTTCTTAAGAGTAAAGTCAGACAACACATGTCTCTCAGAAACTGGGAAGGGACACTAAAGAGAGGAGAAAATGGAGAGAGTGGACACAAAGAGAACTTCCCAAATTGGTCGGATTTCCCCAGAGACAGAGGCATGGCTGCACAGCTTTTGTGCAAGACGCAGGTTAGAAGAGGTGTGGAGAGTGGCTCCCTGGGGAATTTACAAAGCTATCTGCTCATTAAAATTATCATCCCATTGATCTTTATGCTGGCCTACATGGGATGACCCAGAGGTACAGGCAGCGAGTGTAGCAGCCCTCCCAGGGGCTCTCCCAGGTCCTAAACAACCCCATGATCACACTCTTCATGCTGCAGACACCTTACTGAGCACTTAGTATGTGCCACTATGTTCTATGATGTGAGCTACAGCAAAAAGTAAGACAGGAAACAATCCCTGTCCTCATGGACACAGAGACCTCAACGTGCCATGACCGCCCAGTGGTTGCCTGTGTTCTCATCTCGTCTACCTACTCACCACTGTGAACCTCTGAAACCTTCTTGGCTCGTAGTAGGCATTCCACGAATATGTGTCTACTAAAATATATGAATGTCAAGAATAAAGGAGGAATTTTCCCAGTTTAAGCTAATCCCTTGGTGGTACTAGTGAAATCCCATCATCAGAGCTGGAAAGAAACATGTTATTTTCTCTTTTTAATGCATCATTCCATCACTCTTCACCTCTTTCTGCCTCAAGAACGTTCAGTGAATAAGGTAAGTGTGCACCAGTCTACTTCATATGCTCCTATAGGACAATAATCTTTTTACAGTCCCTAAAAGCACTACACTGAAGGCATTCCAACTGTCTTTGATGACCCAGAATTGCCTCCCTACCTAAAACTGTGAGCTGTCTGACCACACAATGTTTTTTCTTTGTCTTCCTGTCCTGGGCAAAGCACACATAGTCTCCTTGGTCCTGCAAGGATGCGTTCTGGAGCTCCACGATCAAAATGTCACTTGTGCCATTAGAGATCTTGGTGGAGTTCATTTTCCAAAGAGCATCCAAGTTCTTGCAAACAGGTGTGGGCAACTCTCCCGAACGGATTGGCAGAGCCTGTGGGCTAAACTTGTACCACGTGAGGTCCTCAAACATAGTTCTGTCTGCAGAGCACCACAAAGACACACTCTCCTGTTCAGTTGGCTGGCTGTGAGGTTGCAAAGTGATTTTAGGGCCCCCTGAAATATAAAACCCAAGGTTAGAAAATGATGATTTAATTTGGGCAGCACACAATTCTCTTCTTGTCGCCTTCGGACTGCTATAAAGTACCAAGAAAACTGAAGCTCTAGCAATCCCAGACAATGTAATACAAGGAGACAACCAAACTAGACAGTTTGGGCCCCAAAATGTACTATTTCACCAAGATGCATCCCGCAGATACATATCAAATCTCCACTTTGAGCTCTAAACACAGTTTTTGAGATTTTAAAAAAATCCAAAACATATTCAAAGCAGATAATTACAACATGGAACTTTATAAATTAGTTCCTTGTTGACACATCACACTCAATGACATTAAAGCTATATTTATGACAACAAATTAGCCCAGACTGAACTCTTTCACCTAGTCCAGGCAGCTAAAGCTTATCCATAAAACTAAGATGAACAGGCAGAATCAGCAGCATTGGGGGGAAACTGCCCCTATGTCATTACAATTCCCTCCAGAAAACTCAATGCTGTCAACTGTTCAGCAGTAGGCCCACCAATACTGAAGGAACCCCAAGAAGCCAAGCGCTGTGTTACACTCGGATGGTGGAGACATAACTATGAGGCAGGACTTGTGGCTAAAAACTATATGAAATAGTTTTTTCATAGTTCTGAGGGAATGGGAGAGTCAGTTGTACTGACTTCACATGAGCCCAGAAGCTAGCTGAGGAGTCTTCATTTATGAACGAAAGCACCCAGATTCAGTCCAAGTCCTCTCCTGAAACACCATGCCACTCAGGAATGGCAAGGACCACAGAGCATCAGACAGCTCAGCACCCACCTGGCAAGAGACCCAACCCCCCCTCGCAGAGTGGTACTCACTGGTCACATGGAAGGAGATCACCCTCTCTCCTCTCCCAACTTTGTTGATGGCTTCACATTTGTACAAAGCTGACACATTTGCTGCTTGGATAACAAGGGTACTTACAGTCTATGGAAAAAACGAAACAAAACACAAATCCCGGGCCATAAACAATGGAGGCTGTGTGAGACCTGTTGAGACCTGCCTACTCCATTCATATTACTGCACTGACCTTCTCAAATCCACGCAATTATAATTATGCTGGTGTGGCTCATGCATTACACAAAACGAGCATTGGAAACCAAAAAGAAAATAAAGTGTTTTAACATGTACACATTTTCTCATTTCCATATTTGTAAAATCAGAATCACCTTACAACAGATGTACAGATTTAACGGCATACTTGTTTTACCTTTCTCTGATAAGATATTAATAAGTCAGTGTGCTTCTAAAAGTCATTGGTGTTTTCAAACTAACTTAATATGTTAGTGTTTTATTGTACAATTAATGTGACTATCAATCTCCAATATCCCTCACATATGATTGACCCCATGCTTTCACTCCATCCTTCTATCCTTCCAGAAAAGAGAGAGAGACAGATTTTTAAATTAAAGAACTTCAAACTCACTTTGTTTTTTCCTTCAATTATGGCAAATTGATTTTTGTTGACTTCAATTTTATTTCCCCCCTGGAAGTCATCCACATTTCTCCATTCTTTACAAGTATATGGGTTTGTCATTAAGACAGCTTGGCTATAAGGAAGAAATAACAGCTCTTATTATGACTTAATTTTTCTTTAGTTCAAGTCCACAGCAAGGAAAGGAGTCTGACTTTGGTTATTATGTTCTTAGAAATAACTTTCAACGCACACTACCAAGTTACATGATTTGGCGCCAATTAAAAATAGGCCTCAGAAAAAAAGGAAGAGGTTCTAGGTAGATTCATTCAGGATACAGGAGGGAAACAGCTATTCTGGGAACAAACCTCCATTCATAAATTGAATCGACAAGACAATTCAAGCTAATTTAGTTCAAAGGAAGACAAGGAAACTAAGAAGTCATTGGGCTTCTTAAAGTAATCTCCCTGGGACTGTGGCCTTTGTGTAGGAAATGGTCAGCATCTAAGGAAGAAACTAGTAGTGACCATCTCAAAAACAACAACAGGAAGTGAACTGCTTGGGGTGGTAGTGGGTGGCCTGTTGTTTTGTCTTCCTAAGGATGTCTGGATTTATGTGAGAACCTGATAAGCTGGGCCTGAGAATCCAAAGGCTGCAGCCAGGCCTGTGGCTCCCTCATATCCATCAGCTCTTCCTCTGAGATGGACCTTCTCCCAGATAAGAAGGAAAGAGGGTGGTATTCACCAGTTGATTGGTATAAGGAGAAACACCAAAGATTAGCAATTGGCAAAGTGATCGAAGAGCCTGCGTTTGGAGAGGTGTGCACACCGGGGCTAAGCTAGGAAGAGAGCGCTAGCTAATCTCAAGGGGGGGCACCCCAAGGAAAGACATGTCCTAAAACATAAGACATAGAGAAAGATGGAAGGATAGCAAAAGGACCACCTGGGGCATAACTTTCTTAGGAATGGCCTTCTCGGGGTGGAATGGAGTCATACCACAGCGTACTGTAAGAAATGCACAACAACAGGCAAGAAGAGGCCATGGGCTACTCACGCGGGCTTGTAGGCGCACTCCTCCAGCTGCCAATACCAGCGAATGTGATGCGGGGGCGGGACGGAGTAGACCGTGCACGTCAGCATCTGTGTGGTGCCGTACTGGTAAGAATCCACCAGAGAGATCAGGGACTTCTCACCGATCTGGGGTGGGACTGGAGATGGGAAAAGCCACGTTTTAATTGTCAATCCGCTTTGAGGAACAGAAAGTGGAAGTTTTCATCAACTGAAGCCTATGCTTCTATAAGCATATGATTTTGCCCTCCTTTTGTTTTTCAAAGAACATCTAGACTTGGACACGGGAGATGTGACTTCTAGTGATAACCATCATCCTCATAAGTGGAGGACTGTGTGCAAGTCTGGCCACCCTCTGCCTCAGTTTTCCTTGGTCTACATGATAAGGATAACTCTCCCTGTGCTCCCAATCTCCAAAGATCAGAAAGAAAGAAAATCATCGTGACTAGCACAGCAAATACGTTCATGATGTGCAAGCCATTGTTCTAAGTGCTCTGCATAGATTAATTCACTTAATCACACATGAGAAAAATGAAACAGAAACATGAAATGACTTGCCCAAGGTAACCCACCTCTCTTCCTTCTCCCTCCACTTCCTCCACTCCCTTCCTTCCTTCCTCCCTCCCTCTCTCCCTCCCTCCCTTCCGGTTCTTCCTTCCCCCTCCCCCTCTTCCTCACCCTTTTATTCTCGCTTTCCTTTTTTGGTTCCAAAGTCATTAATGCAAAACTATGCCCCCATCACTATCAACTTAAAGCCTCAAATTATACTCTCGAATTTTGACTTTTTTATGTTTATTTAATATAGCAGGGTAAATGTTAGGGTGAATCAAATGTTTAGTAACTTCATGAATTCTTGAGATGGGGTTATACACTGTCCATTTTTACATCTTTATTTTGTGTTCATTTTCTTCTCCCTACCCTACTTTTAGCTTTCCAGCTTCTCGCCATTCCCCAAGGCCCTACTCCTGAGTGGCTTCTGAGTGACACTTTAAAATACTCCCTGAAGCTGATGTCCCAGAAAAGAAAGGAAGCAGAGCTCAGCAGACATACGGAGTGGTGGCAGGATATATGGGGAAACACCGTAATTTACAAAAGAAGATCCCAAAGTTTTCCTATGCCATGCCGATAGGGAGAACAAAGAATTCCAACAGAAAAGCATTTCCCAAACTGTGTTTGGGACAAGAGATTAGATGGATTTCCAGGGTCGGAGGGGGATGCTCTGGTCAAATAACTTTGTCAAACCCTCCATACTCTATGTCTCTTCCCCTGGAGAATGGCAATATGCATGAACACGTTAAATAAAGGTCCTGATAAGTCCTGCTATAAAGACACCTGTTGTACATCGATTTTACATCTCCTACACGTTCCATGATACCATTTTATTCCCCACCCAGAACGCTTTCAGTTTGGAAAAACAACGTTCAAATCATCCTTAAATCATAAACGTAGTATCTCCTCTTTATAGCCTCAGAGTCAGATAGATTCTAGACTCCTGTTTTTAAAAAAAAAAAAATTTTTTTTTAAGTTCCAAGAAGCCAACAGTGTCAACCTGCAAAAGCCTTCTGAGTAGGAACCTGCCTGTGTATCAAACTAGCAGCTTCCCACAGAATCGAAAAGACACTTGCACATTTGCATGCCGGGTGCACAATTTCATGAGACAAGAGCAAAGGTAGTATGGCAACTGTTCCTGTAGGCATTCTTATTTCACAGCATAGAGCTGTCAAGTGTATCATCTATGTCGATACTGCACTTGACACCAAAGAGTCCATTTACATGGCCCCTGAAGCAAACATGTCCAGAGCGCACTGCCCTATACCTCATTTCAACTCCACTGATCTGGATCATTTTTATAAATAGAAGCCCATTCATGATGTGAGTGAAGCAACAGGTGACAAAGGAATGGTGACCTGGCTGTTTAAGAAGATATAATCGTACTCTTTGTAATCAGTTTTGGGCAGAGAAGGAAAACTGAATAAACTCACCATTCACAACCAGAGATACCACGTGGCTCTGTTTCTCCTTTGACATGGGATTGGTGAGGACAACAGTATAATTTCCTGTATCTTTTTCACTCACTTCCATAATAATCAGTTCCTTCTCCCCTTTTATTGTGTGATTGGACTCAATGGGTCTTCCATTTTTATACCTTGGGGGAAAAAAAATCCCAGGAATTAGTATAATTTAAGGGTTTTCTTTCAGATGGAACAACACTTTGCATTTATTTGCAATACTGACCATTTTATTTCAGGGGTAGGGTAAGCAAGGTACTTCACGGGGACTTTAACACGGTCTCCCACTGTGGCTTCCACCAAAGATTCCATGCTACTATCAAAAGCAACAAAAGGTTTTTCTGGAAGAAAATAAAAATACTTATTCTCATAAATGTCAACTTATTATAAACGGTCATTTGGTTTAGTTTTCCATTTCAAGTGAAGAGACAAAGATCTGGGGAGTCTGAGTTGCCACAGTGTAGGGATTTCCCCACACTTCCTTTCCTTGTTCACAGTCCAGCTTCTCCCACACAACTGGCCTCTGCATTTGCTCTTCTCTCTCTCCAGGTGCACACTGCAAGCCTACTGACTGCTCAAGTCTCAATTCAAGCATTTGCTCCTCTGTGAAGCTTTCTCCAAGTCCTCCAGGGACCTTAGGGTGCTCCTTCTCTGCTCTTATGGCGCCCTATCCCTATCCGCTATATGCCCCAGGTCTCAGTCCTCAGACCACTTCTCTTTAGCTACACCTTCCTCCAGGCTCAGCCATAAAGTGCCACCCACATTCCTACTAAATTTGTATTTCCTCCCCTGACTTCTCTGGGTTCCAGGTTTATATATTAAATATCTCCATTTGGAGGTTTAGTGGGCATGTCCAAATAAACAGACCCAACCCTGTTTCTCCAAATCTTACTTCCTGTCAGTCTTCCCTATCTAGGTAAATAAAACCACCATTCACTCATTTGCTCACACTAAAAATTCAAATCATCTTCCATTCTTTTTCTCTTACCCCTTACAGCCATTGAGTCAAAAGGCAGATCCTGCTGGCTCTATCTTCAAAAATGTATCCAGAATCAGATCATTTCTCTAAGCCACTCACCATCTCTCACCTGGATAACTGCAACAAGCCCCCCACTGGTCTCCCTACTTCTGCCCTTACTTCCCAAAAGTACTTCGCAAAAAATACATAGTAATCCTACAAAAACATAAACTGGAGCATGTCTCTCTCTGCTCAAACCCTTCTATGAATTCCCATATTATAAAATCCAAAATCATTACCAAGGCCTATAAGTCGGGTGCCATATGAATTATCACCTAAACTGAGACATTTATGCGTTATTATGTGACATTAATGGAAGAGAATAAATAAGAAATTAGGTTATTTGTTCAAAGCCCCACAGATAGTAATTAAATCCAGGCCTCTCCAAGTATAAAGCCCATGCTTATTCACACAGGCCTCTCAGTCTTGCAATAAAATGAAAATTTAAAGACTATCTTAGATAATAATACTCTGCTTATTATACTATTAGTAATAGCATTAACAACAAACGCAACAAGTAAAATTTAGTGAGCGCTTACTGTATTAGCTCGTCTCATTATTAAAGTTGGGCTCTGAACCCAAGTTGTGCTCTTGACCTCTGGGTCATATGGCCTCCCTAGCAGGAGCTCAAAAATGTCTTCTGAATGAACAAAATCGGAATCACTAGCTGACTTAAATTTATTTAAATTAGCGCACTTTTCAAGGCACAGCATAATCCCAAAGGAGATCTTAGCTTACCATGGACCCTGACTGATGTGTTGCTCTTCATGGTCATCATCCCACTGGAAGCCTCACAGATATACTGCCCTTGGTCACTCCGGGTTACACCATCTATAGTCAAGGTGCTCAAAAATTTCTTCATCTCACTCCCAGACTGGGTTTTTAGGTCCCGGATAACAAGTTTTTTATGCCGATGCTGAAAAAGAGTTCACCGAACTTTCAAAGTCCAGCATAACATTACCTGGTAGCTTCTAGATACCCACAAGATCAAGTCTTGGCCCTTGGCGAACACTATTCATGCTAAAAATAAGGGACTTCAGAACATTTCATATCACCTAAGCAACCAATATATTTGGTTTCAGGAGAAATAAATGGAACCAACTGAATTAAGGTTTTTAAAGCCTCACATAGTGGGAATGAGATGGATATGTACTACAGGAACACAAGCAAATATGACCACTGCTTAAGGAGAAGTATGTTTTATGCCACCTCTTGAAGACAAATTCCCTTAAAGGGGAAATATAACAAAGACTTTGGAGCACAGAAAAATAACACAACCTGACAAGATGTAATCACCTAGAGAAAATTCATCTTCACAGCCTGAAAGTAGCAGAGTGGGACCGAGTTCTTGGCATTGCATCTGTTTTCCATGGATGTTATATGTTCTGCAGTTCTTTTAAACTGTGCGTGTGTGTGTGTGTGTGTGTATGTATGTGAGAGAGAGAGAGAGAGAGTTAAGGCCCTTATATTTTATCTGGCCAGAGAGGTCCCTATCTCTTTTTTTTTTTTTTTAAGATTTTATTT